TTTTAAAATTGGGAGGATTTTCAAGAAAGAGAAAGAGAGAGAGAGAGAAGGAGAGGGAGGGGAAAGAGGGAAATAGGAAAAGGAAGGTAGAGCAAGGGGAGTAGAGAAAGAGATAGAGAGGGAGAGAAGGAATTAGAATAAAAAAAAAAGGTGGGAAGAATTAATGACAAATTACTGCGTACGACAGTTAGTTTTGCTTCATTTTGGTGTTCCATTTTTGATATGTAAAAGTGGAGAGCGAAGAAGTAACCTTTAACCCCTAACCCATTAGTAACCGAATCTGCCCACAACATTATTCCAGGATATTTCCGGATGTACGAACCAGGAATTACTCATCAGTAGCTATGTTTGAGTTGATAGTAGTTAACATCGATTCTGGTAGCTCTTCGATTTGACGTAAGAATGAAATGGGTGATAAGAAGTGATAATAGAGTTAGTTAGGGAGAAGTAAGAAGACTAACTTAATACGTTAACTTTATCGTATAAAAACTTTGTCGTAAAAGTAAGGGGATGAAGAAAATAAGTATGTGACATATGTGATCTAACTAAATGTATGTATTTAAGAAAAAAAAACAACACATGTATACATTTGTTTACTTACGTATACTTAAAATTCTCTTCAGTTTTTTTCACGAAAAATTCAAATCATTTGATTCATAATGTTAATTTCAGGACTGTTGCAAGGAAATTGCTGGAAGCATAAGTGGTGGTAATAATTGTAGTGATAAACATATGAGCGGTTCAATCAACGGTATTATTGGCAATTTAGGCAGTAGTGGTGATGGGAATTTAACTATTCAAATGTCGGGGAACAACGGACAACAACAACAACAACAACAGCCGCAGCAACAACAGCAACAATCTGTATAATACTTTTTTTTTTCGAATCTATTAATTTAGCTGAATTTGTTATCGTACTTTTTCTTTTATCGTACAATTTGTCATCGTACAATTTATCGTACTCTTTCTTTTTTTCGCATTGAATTCAATTTGAATGAAATAGTTTTATTGTTAGCACTTTAAATATCTCTTCTGGAAAATCTACAACCATCTAATGGCTTCTTTTTCAAATAATATTCCAAAGTGAAATTCCTTTTAAGAAGCCTTTTTTCGGTAATGTGTGAAATGCAATATCTTTCACAGTTTAATATATAGAGTAGTCGAGATACCATTGCTACGTTTATTAAAAAAATAGGAACACGTTTATTAACTTGATTTTTGCTTTTGAATGCAGAAAATGATTGAAAATTATTGCAGAAGATAGAAAGTGCTCAAGGAGACGGTAACACTAGAACAGTCTATGATAATCAGAAAAACACACCTAATGGTACCAACACAACGAATGTACCATCTGCCGCGGTATGTTCATCCAACGAATGAGTGGAAATGCAAATTAGGAATTTCACTGTTATTTTTCCTTTCATAATCTTTTTCCGCGTACATAATATGTTTTATGGTCTTTTATAGGTCCCAAATTACGACATTAAATATATATTATCTGGTCATACGAAAGCTGTGTCATCTGTCAAATTCAGTGCTGATGGTTCATTGCTAGCTAGCTCTAGTGCTGATAAAACAATCAAAGTGTGGAATACTCAGGATGGTAAGATAGAAAAAACGATTACCGGACATAAACTTGGAATCTCGGATATTTGTTGGTCCTCAGATCATCGATTGATAACATCTTGTTCGGATGATAAAACGCTGAAAATATGGGATGTTATGAGCGTATGTATCTCCTTTTTATTCCCTTTTTAGAGGTTACACCTAGTGAGTGATTTGTCCAAAGTTTAGCATTGTCGATGGAACATTTTCATATTTTAAAACGCATTAATGTTTAATTAAAGTTAGGTTTTTAGATCGCTAGGACTAGTAGGGACAGAAATGAGAAGGATTTTCTGGGGAAATGGCTATAAATTTTTACTTCAACTTATTAATTAGACGTTTGTTACACAAAGTATGATTATAATGAATATTGCAGAGCAAATGTTTGAAGACATTGAAAGGTCATACCAATTATGTTTTCTGCTGTAATTTCAATCCTCAGTCGTCCTTGGTCGTGTCAGGTTCCTTCGATGAAAGTGTTCGAGTTTGGGATGTAAAGACAGGCTCATGCATTAAAACCCTTCCTGCACATTCCGATCCGGTTTCTGCAGTTTCTTTTAATAGGTAATCATCGTCACGTACTGTTCAGCATCAGATTAAAGCAGGAACATGCAGTACATGTATGTTGAAGCATATTTAAGTTTTTTAAGCTGTAAAAGATGTAGACAATTCGACATAATCTTCCTGTAATTTTCCAATTTAGCAGTCTTTTGGCTTTTTTGTGACTGGTACCGTGGTTGCATAGGTATGTAGTATAGTAAATATCAGTAAATGAAGTACCAGTAAAATTACTTGTTCAAAATATCTGGCCCAGATATTTTGAGTAAGTAATTTTCAGCAGACAGTAGAAAGTTGAAAGTTTTATTATTAAACGCTGTATTTTTAGGGATGGAACACTGATTTGCTCAAGTAGTTATGATGGGCTTGTTCGAATTTGGGATACTGCAAACGGGCAGTGCGTTAAAACTCTTGTTGGTAAGGCTTAATATTGTAACTATCCTCAGAATGTAGGTCGACTTTTTCGTTATTCTGGAATATTTCATGGTAGAGAATTTATAGCTGATTTTCGGGGAAGAGGTTATCGATGTGTAGTAAACTTAAGTTTGTCCAAATCTTGTTTTTATTGCTGACGTCTATTGCTGTCACTTACTTTTTACTTTGTACTTATTAGTATCATCATGTTCAGATGATGACAATCCTCCAGTTTCTTTCGTAAAATTTTCACCAAATGGCAAATATATATTAGCGGCTACCTTAGACAGGTTTGTTATTAAGTGATATCTGTTTTCACAATTAATACATTTGCAAAAATAGCGTTCGAAAAATTCCAATTCCAATAAAATTCCAATAACTGTGCATTTTGTTTTCATCTAATATTTCGATGGGAATTCATTTTGGCTTTCATTTTATGCTTGAAAAGCTTTGACAGAGTTGTAGAGTACTTGAATGACGGATATTTGTTCGAAAGGCGTGCAAGCTGGCATAGCCGTTCGTTTAGTGTAGATTACAATTTAAGTCTTTCCATGTTAATCTAAACAAATTATCACTTTAAACACTTCTTTTATTTGTGGAATGAATCTTCTCCATTTAGTTTTCTAATTTTGCTCGCTATATGACGGAATATAAAGAGGAAATTTCTGTTTAGCACATTGAAACTCTGGGATTTCAACAAAGGCAAATGTTTGAAAACTTATACTGGACATAAGAATGAAAAGTACTGTATCTTTGCAAATTTTTCTGTCACTGGTGGCAAGGTAATTCAATTTTTCCATTTCGGATTTATGTTACCATTGTTTGATTTGTTATATTTGGAATACCATTTAAACTGAAAATTTCTATTAATATAAAAAAGAAAATAATTGATATCATGCTATTCATGCATGATATCAATTATCTTTTTCCACTGAAGGAAAATGGATTACCTGTAATATAAATTAGTTTTAGTGGATAGTCAGTGGTTCGGAGGATAATCGTGTCTACATATGGAATTTACAGTCTAAAGAGATTGTACAAACACTTGAGGGCCATACAGGTAAGCATTCGTTTTATCTGATATGATTTCCTAAATTCATTATCCCCAGTCAATCATATTTGACCAAAATTTTAACTTTTGTATGGTAATTCTTCTTTATAAATATTACATCTTTCGAAGTAAAACAGATAAAACAGATGGTATCATATAACTGGTATCATATAATACTGTGCAGTTGTATCAAGGGCAGTTGTGTTTAATGAAAACTGCGTAGAGAAAGAATGATTTGTGTTTTTTGCAGATGTGGTACTATGTACTGATTGTCATCCAACGCAAAATATCATTGCATCAGCTGCACTTGAAAACGACCGTACGATTCGTTTGTGGAAATCTGATTTTTAACTTATACATTTAAATGTATTTATATATATGTCAGAATATATGATATCGTTCGCTGTGGCGATATTTAAATATGAATTGTCTTGATATTTTTATCTAACGAATTTTCCGAAGCCTTGAATAGGTCTTTGACCAGTTATCTGAATGAGTTTTTGTTGATTTTTAATTTATAGTTTATTTACGTATCTAGTGTATGTTGAATATATCATTGTTGCAGGTGCCTACTGCATCGGATAATAATATTTCTGAGAGAAATATGAAAAATATCTCAGGATAGATTCTGGCGATTTTCAGAAGTAAAGACTGTCCATCTTGTAGAATCTGAGTTTCATAATGAGTTTTGAATTGCTTTACATTAACAAATCAATATCGACATTTTGCCAAGTATTTTTGAAATTCATTCCTTTGCACTTTTTCCCTGTTTATTTTCTGCGTATTATTCATTATGAAAATGTTTGTTTTTTTTTTTTCAGTATATCTCTCAATTTATTTTTGATACTCATTATTTTTGACATTTCTGCATAAGCAGCAATAAAATTGTCTGATCATTTCCGTTCAATTTTTTTTTTTTTTTTTTCTTTTTTTGCACAATCATTGAGATCAGTTGAATATGGTTAAACTGAAACTGCACCAATGACAAAAATGTCAAGTTTCATTTTGATGGTTTAGCAGCAACAGCATCTTATCAACATTTATTCTTTCGCATTTCTTTTTTTTCCTATATTATCTACTTAATATGTCCGGAAATAAATTTTAAAAAAGTTCTTTATCTACGTAGAACAGACAGTGCTGGAAGGCTCAGCAGGTAACACTGAAAGAAAGGCAATCCAGTGAAGTTATCGTCAACCTTCGTATATGATTATATGTGATTCCTTTAGCAAGGTTAAATCTTTTTTCATAACGGGAATAACTTTTGTAGTTACATGTGGGTCAAGGTTAAGAGATATTTATAATGACAAAAATGAAACTTAACTTCATCAGATAATTGTAACGATAAACAAAAAGATGAAATATGAAGTGAATTTTATTTTTTATTGGTGTTGAAGATTTCTAAAGTATTTTCTCCTGCTAAATTGGTTGTTTCAGTTTCGCCAACAGATTCTTCGGATTCAACTGATTCATCCACAACACGACCCGTATCCGTATCTCCCGTCTGCAATATCATTTTATGTTTCAAGTTTTTTTTTTTTTCAAATCGATCTTCTCAAGATAATACCAAAAGGAATTGCTAAGGAATGGATTGAATGATTTTTGGGTTAATTACTTAAATTAGCCAAATCTTCTAGATATTTCATAAATAAATTGGATAGAATTAGTAAAGCATAAAAATAAATCGATATTCTTTCCCTCATTAAAATATAATATCTCTGTGATAAAAAACCGATCATAGCTTGAATAAGCTTCCTAAATCGAAACCTTTTCAACAAAAAACATAAAACTTCGAAGAAAAAGTGAAAAATTCTAAACGAAGCTTCAAATTCCGATCATCAAAGGCGTTGATCTGAGCCTTATCAATTTGTTAACACCTTTATTGATGGCTAATTTATTTTTTTATGGAAAAATTATGCCATAAGAAAGTTTTGGGAAAAGTAGCCTCTGGTGCATGTTGACCTCTCTTTATTTGTAAAACTTATGAAGGAATGCTATTTTTATAACTCTACAATTATTACTATTTATTATTGTTATTATTATTATTAATTAATTAATTAATTAATTATGATGATATTTTTTTTAAACAAGAGAAATAGAAACTTGAGATCTCTCTTTATTTGTAAAACTTATGAAGGGATGATATTTTTATAAATGCTACAGTTATTATTATTTATTACTATTAATTAGTTAACTAATTAATTAATTATGATAATATTTTTTTCTAAACAAGAGAAATAGAACTGAATTTTCGTTGTTTTAAAATAAAAGAAATGAAAAAATAGTGTCAAGGCGTTTACCTTATCGATTTCAACTTTAACATCTTTCTCATTTTCTGCAATTGCACTAGTTTCTTGTTTCAAAATACCTTTCTCATTCCATTCAAATGGACCCGATCTATCAATATTAAATTTAATTAATGATTGCACTAATCAGTTATTCAATTCTTATTTCCCAATTGTTATTCAATCATTTATCATTTTATAATTTGTCAAATTTATCTAATTTTTATTATAACGTTCAACAACGTTTCATTCTATTCAATTCTTATTATCAAATTTCAAATTAACCCATTATTTATGATTAATTGAAATTTTAAGCAAAATTTTTGTATTTTAAGAATAATTGCAGAAAATAATCCAAAATGGAATGATTTTCTATTCGATGAAAGTAGTAATTAATTCATAATTGTAAGAGTTTATTGGAAATAAAAAAAAATTTACGGTTTAATTTTTAGTTTGTTAAGTTCTTTCGTGAATTTTGTCTGAAACATTGCATAATTTGGTGTATCAAGATAAGTGAGACTTTTGAGATGATTGTTTATGTCACCAAAGCAATCTGGACATCCCTTAAAGTTTTTTTCCTTTTTTTCTTATCACAATTTATGGATTTTATTATCAGTTTTTAATTGCTCGTTAAATTATAAGATTTATTAAATCATAAACTTATCAATTTGAATTACCAATAATTAATCGATTAAACAAGTGATATGTTTTTTTTTGTTGCAATTAAAAAATTTATTACCAATTTTTGAATTAATTATCAGATTATAAGTTTGATTATGTGCATAAATTTAGCATAATTTTAGATTATCAATGATTAACTGATAAAGCAAACCGTAATTGTTTCTCTTTTTTGACTACAATTTAAAAATTTTATTATTAATTTATAACTTAATCATCAAATTATGGGATTAATTATATGTAAGGACGTTATAAAATTATCAATTCAAATTATCAATGATAAATTGATCATACAAATACAATAAATATATGTTGAATAAATAACTTACAGCTAATAATATCCGATCAGAAACTGTTTGCTTTACATGAGCACTATCTTTTCGAGCCATACCTTTCCATGGTAATGTTGATGATAATAATTCAATTAACATATAAAACATACCTATTGAATGAATCATCCTCATACATTCTATTTGATGTAAAATTATCAATTCAAATTATCAATGATAAATGAATGATTGAAAAATATATAAACCTTTTAAGAAAAGAATATTGTAAACAATTATTTTTTTTGTTTAAATTTAAAAATTATATTTTAAAATTACAATTTGAATATATTTTATTTGCTATAAAATTATCAATTAAAATTATCAATGATAAATCAATAATTGTAATAAATCAAAAAATAAATGTTTGAGAAAAAAAAGACAAAAAAAGTTTTCTAGTCTATAATTTAATTAAAATCAAACTAATTATTAATAATATCATTTAAAAAATATTTATTACTTATTAAATCATAATTTATTCTTTATATTTAAGTAAATAATTTTTTAGAAATAAAGATTTTTAGAAATAATTTTTTAGAAATAATGAGAAAAAAATATTTTTGTTTTATTTAAGATGTAATTTTCGAATTTTTTTAGAATAAAATTTTGAATATTATTTTACTCCATAAATCATCATGCCTTCCTTGTTCACGATATAAATGTACATTTAATGAGCAATAGCGTACCGTACCACGAAATGCTACCTAAAATTCAGTGATATTTGACAAATTTTAGGTTAAAATTTTAAATTAAATTGATTAAATTAGATTAATCGAAAATCTCGCCCTAAATTGAATTGATCGAAATTACGATTGAATTAATTAAATTCATTTTTTTCTAAATGAACCAAAAATTTCGGAAAATTATTTTTATTTGGATAAATTCAACAAATTTTAGAGTGATTTTGTGGATGAAATTTTAATTTATCGTTTCAAAAAAAAAAAATAATAATAATAATGATTGTTACTGGTTGTTGTAAAATTATATCCAAAAATTTATATATAATAAAGTTTTTCAATTTTTATTTTTAAGTTTAAAATATTTTTACACTTTAAATTTACCTTCCCTATAATCCCTTTTGTTTTCCTTAAATTATCAAATACTCTTTTTTGTTTTTCAATTTTTCTTTTTGAATTTTCAATTGCTTTTTTAATTTTTTTTCATTTGTTACTTTTCTGAATTTATTTTAATTTGTTTAATTTTTATTTTAGTTTATTTCATTTTATTTCTTATTTATTTATTTTTTTTACATTTTATTTTTTATTTTTTATACGATTTTAATTACTTAAACCATTTTTGTAACATTGTAATTTGAAATATTAAATTATTAATAAATTTGAAATTGACTACTTTGTAATTAATTTCCTGTTTTTTTTTTAAACTAGTTTTGTAAAAATTATTTCTAAAATATAAATTCCTTCTCGTACTAAACCTTTTTTTTCACATTTATATTTCAAAATAAAAAAAAAAAAAAGAAATGAAAACCTTTTTTCTGGCTTCACGAAGTTTCATTTTCCCATCCTTATCCGGTAGCATAATTTGTCGTGCTAGGCCAAAATCAAACATAAATACGATATTAGCTTTCTGATCACGACCCATTGCGAAATTACTTGGCTTAATATCACGATGTATAAAGCCAATTTTATGCAAATCACGTATTGCCTATATGATATTCATTTCATTTTATCCTTTCAATCATTAAAATATAATTTAAATTTTATTTTATTTTATTTTTAATTAAAATTTTTTCCTTTTCTTTTTTTCTCATATCTTTTCAATATGAAGAAATAATATTTCTTGTTATCGTATCATTTATTAAAGATATTTTAAATAGGAAATATTTGTTTAGTAGTACCGTTGTTGATTGTATGCCAATTTTTAAAACACTTCCAATTGACATTTTACGATCATGTAATCGTCTTCTAATATCTGATAATTCTCTTCCCAATAGTGACATTATCATGAAACTATAAAAAAAAAAAGAAATTATCATAATTGAAATAATTTTAGCATTTCCAATTTTACATTTAATTCAATTCATTTCTTTGATAGTTATCTAATTTAAATATTAGAAAAATGAATATTAAACATTCCTTTTTAAAAGTTACTATAATTGAAATGATTTTAGCATTTCCAATTTTACATTTAATTCAATTCATTTCTTTGGTAGTTATCTAATTTAAATATTAGAAAAATGAATATTAAACATTCCTCTTTCTTTTTTTTTATTTTCATATTCTTATTCTATTTTAAATACCATTTTATAAGTCATAAAAGTTTTCGAATAAATTGGAATTTTAATTTAAAAATTTTAAAGTATCAATTAATATTTGAAATTGTTGAAATATTTGTGTGAAATTCTTAATATTATCGAGAATATTCAACCATAATAGCTAATAACAAATCATTTTTTTTTCCTTTTTTTCAATTCACAATCTCTCCCTCTCTTCTTTTCTCTCTCTGTTTCTTTCTCTCCCCCTCTTCTTCTCGCCCTCCTTTTCTCTCGGTTCCTTCATGCCTCAATCTTGTCTCTCTTTCTGTCTCTCTTTGTTCGTTCTCTCTTTCTGTCTCCATCCCTCTTTGTTTCTCATATCTCACCCTCCCTCTCTGTCTCTCTCTCTCTCTCTCTCTGTTCCCCCTCCCTTTCTCTCCCTCATCTATGCAATAAATGTTTAATTTTTTTAAAACTTCTTCAAATGAAAATTTTTTCAAATTTTTAAGAAATTTAATTTTCCCACTTGCAATAGTGAAGAGATAATTTTTTAAATACTTTCATTTTCCGTTTTCAATCTTTTTCTTTTCGGATAAAATATATTTAAATATTCTTGCAATATTTTTTCTCTCTTTCCTCTTTATATCTAAACTTTTCATATTCCTCCCGCCTACTCTCATTTTTTCTTTCCTTCTTTGTATCCATACCTTTATTACTTCCCTCCCTCTCTCTCTCTCTCATCGTTGTTTTTTTTAATTTTTGTTGAATTCCTTTAGAGATTTTTTTTTGGGGGGGAAAAACAAAAAATCTATTAATGTATGATATGATAAAATATTTTTTTCCTCTTCCATTCACTTTTTTTTTCCTCTCTCTCTCTCTCTGTCTACTTTTTTTCCTTTTCTTTTGTTTTCTTTTTTATTTCGCTGCTTTTTTTTTTCTAAGCTATCATTTTTCATATTTTTCCTCTTCTTTCTTTCTCTCTCTCTCTCTGTCTCTCTCATACTTTTACACTAATTGATAAATGAATAATGCATAAATCTTCGTTAAGTTGAATTTTTTCAACACCAAACTTTAGTTTAAATTTTTATTTTTAAATTGAAATTTTTGGTTAATTTTTTTTTTGCATTTCAAAATTTGAATTGTAATTCTATTTCTAATATTTCGGTAAAAAATTGTCAAAAATGGAATCATAGTTCAGATTTTAATGAATAGTATTTAATTTTACATTTAAATTTGTAATTAGTATTATTTCTTAAAAAAACAAACTATTTAATTTTATATGTAAATTTGTCATTAATATTGTTTCTTTCAAAAAATCACTATGACATTTAATTTTACATTAACTTACATGAAAAGCATTTAGCAATATTTGGGCAAAATTTTGCCTTCCTGAAAGAATTTACCTTCCCATATGGGTAAATACTACTGGATGCCTATACATTGGCCGAATGTATGAATCATAGAGATGTTGAAATGGAATACTTAAACAGTGCTTGAATTTTGACGATATTTTTTTTATTATTTAAATTTAAAATTATAAAAAATGGATGGATGTCGTGCTTGTATGTAATTCTTATTTCAGTTATTTTGTAATTCATTAATTTTACATTTTAAAATTTATACTCAAAATTTAAAATATTGATTCAAACTTAATATTCGTCCAATTGTAATTAATGTAATTAATTAATGGAGAAAGTGGAATGGTGGTTGCAACAGTCATGCTAATATGTTTCATTCTAATAAAGCCAAAATTTCCTCCGTTTAGCAATTAAATAATTAAGAAGTGGAGTTTGTAATTAAATAATTAGGCATTGATGTTGTTGCAATTAACTAAAATTCCCATCTCTTTCTCCCTCTTTCTCTCTCTCTCTCTCTCTCTCTCTCTCTTGCTTATCATTTATCTTTCTAGTAAAATTCTCTTTTCCGCTTTATCAGGAAATGTAAATATTAATTGAAATAAGATATTCTAATACATCTAGTATCAAATGTTATCATATCAAATGTACGAAAATACAATGATTTCAAAAAAAAAAAAGAAATGAAAAATATGAAATGAAAGAAATCGTATAATTAAAATAAACAACTGAAATGGATAATTGAAATGGATAATCAAAAAACAGTTTTATATCGATTAAAAACAAAAGGAAGAATTTGGAAGAAGAAAAGGAAATGAAATTAAAATTAATAATTTTTCTTTATTATTTTTGCATACTGATAACATTAAGAATAGCACATTTACTGATTACCTATCATTACTTTCATTCCATTACTTCTTAATAATTAAAGCATCAAAAAAAAAAGAAAAAGAAAAATTAAATCATGAATTTGAAAGTTAAAATTATTAAAATTAAAATTTTAAAATTAAAAAGTAATAAAAATGATAAATACTTGTAGGATGATGTTTTACCAGCAGCTAATAATTGGCATACATGTTTCGATCGTTGCATTTTTTTAATACATATACTTCCATTTTTAAAATTTCATCATCTTTTGATTTCATTAATGGTTCCACTTTCATGGCAGCTTTCTATACGTTAATTAATAAAGGAAATGATAGTTCAAAGGTTATTTGAAGTATTTTCATTGGTATTGTTAGTTTTATTCCTATCATAGGGTATATTAAAGTTTATGAGATATTTTAATAATTGATTATTTAGCTAAAGTTGTTTTTCTAAATTGTTTCTTTTTTCATGAAAATTATTAAATATCTATTAAATATAGTTTTATTTTTCTTTTTACTGTTTACTTTAAGTCACGTTATTTCTCACGTTTAACGTGAATGTAAGTAATGTTTATATGATGATTAGTTCAGAATGTGTTACTAATAAATCGTTTCATCATTAAGATAATATGGTTTACTTAAACTCATGTTATCCATCACGTTTTACGTGTGAATACGTGAAACAATTAATACAAATTACGTTTCAAAAAATAGATGAAACTTCCTTTTCTTTTCCTTTCTTAAATTGTCTTTACTTTGACTTCCTTTTTTTTGATTATTTGATATGAATGAATGAATTATTATGTATGAGAAATTTTGTTCTTTTTTTTTTCCAATAATTAATGAATGGTACCTGATCATTTTTTTTTCCAATAATTAATGAATGGTACCTGATCATTTTTTTTTCCAATAATTAATGAATGGTACCTGATCA